TTTTTTTTAAGTGCTACTCACATAAAATGGTGCTTTTCCAGTCAGCGACTGGTACACGATGGTACCGATGCTCCACAGATCAGCTTTGGCATTATAGTTCCTGGACATGATGACCTCGGGAGCCTGTGGCCGAAAAAACATCCCAAAACAGCTTAGAGGCACGGTTCCATCACACCTGCTTGGCACAGGATACCAGAGTGAACTACTTTAATGCTTACCATATACATGGGAGAGCCACACAGCGTGGCTGCCATGGTGTTTGTCTGGAGATGACGCGCAAACCCAAAGTCAGCTGGAGGGTGAGAGAAACAGGTGACAGTGTTTTCCTTTTAAATCTATATGAACACATTTTTATTTTACATTTAGACCATCTAATGCAATGCTGGTGTAAGTCATTACCTAACTTAAAGGTGGTATTGATGGAACTGGACCTGCGCCCCTCTGGATGGCAGAGCAAAATGTTCTGGGGTTTGAGGTCTCTGTGGACGATGCCTTTGCTATGTAGGACCTTCATGGCCCGTGATATCTGCTGCAGGAATACATGGATGGTGTCTTCACTCAGAGTGCCTTTAGCTGTCGATACAGAAAGAAAAAAAGAAATTCAGCCTGATGAAAGATTTATTATGCTGGATAAAAAGAAAATGCATTAGCTTACTTATGTGAGACTTTTTTTTTTTTAAAGCTCAAAATATGAAAATACACTAGGAAAGCAAAGCCAAGCATAGAAATGCTGCAGCTACCAGCAGATATCTGGAGGAATATCTGACATGTACATACTGTTTGGACTGCGATATGAATATATACTTTGTTTGCTATCACATGTTCACCGTAACTTATTTATGGTGTAACGTGTCAGCGTCAATGCTGCTATGCCTCACGGAGGAAGATTTTATTCATAATGCCTCAATTAGAAATTAAAGTCAAGGCTGTCTGACACACTAGCTCCCCCCACAAATTCCACCACCACCACCTACTGCTGCACCAAACACCCCCCTCCCTCGCAGTGCATCAGCACCCCATAGCCGTCTTGTTTTCCACCAGAGGACAGAGCATAAGGGAGTGACAGATGGGTGAGGTCATGTGGGAGCAGCGAGAACGTTGCCAAATGTGCCCGAGTGCTGCGCTGCAAATAGCTGTATGTGTCTCCTTGGCAGAGACACAGAATTGGCAGCTCTAGCCTTTAAGGACCGCTGGCACTGGGGCCGTATTAGACCGACACTCCACACCAGCGGGGCAAACCTAGCCCCAGGAAAAATTAACTCCATGTGTCATCATTATTTGAAACACGGCTTGAAACTTGAAGTAGGGGAATTTCTAAGTGAGAGAAGTTTTATTTAATGTTGTACTGTAAAAAAAAAGAAGAAAAAAGGTGGGGGTTTATTTTTAGGCTGCTCATTTTGCTCTGTTTTTTCGCGCTGTAGGCAAACACTGGAGAGAAACTTTAGGTCAACAGGTTTTTATCTAGGTTAAGTACTTGGTAGTATTCATGATAATTCACAGAATGAACTTTAAACCTGACTTCTTAGGTCACACTGCCCTGTTAGAATCCTATTAGTCCCTCAAAACACTACAAAAAAGCTGAGCTAAGCCCCTTAAAAGCCAGACCAGTACGACATGTTAACAAGCACCCCAATGCAATGGAAAGATAAGGTGTGAATGTCCTGTTTTTCTTTTGTGCTTTTGCAAAAACTGTGCAGCACAGATTCTGAGCTTTAAGCCATTTGTTTTGCAGCAAACTTACAATGAAGATACTCTGCCAGGTCACCTCCATTGCAATACTGAAAAGACAAGAAAGACAAGCGTCAGCTCGGCTGACAATGCTGCCCAAGTAGAGGATGAGATTTGCATTTTCCCATGAAAACAAGACCAACCATTAGCATTTCAAACACAACTCACCTCCATAACAAGATACACGCATCCCCCAGTCTCCTGTTAATACAAGCAGATAATATGCAAATCATTCACAATGAAGCTACATGCAGTATTATTAAGCACTGGCTACATGATAGCTAAAAAAAAAACAGAGCTGAAGTTTGAGTCAGTAAAGTCACAAATATTTAAACTGCTTAAATACAACACTGGCATTGTAAACATTGGATTAGAAGTTCAGGCTATTCAGTGTTGCAATAGCCACAATGAGTTACATCAGCTGATTTGTAAGACTCTTTTGGCCCATCAGCAGCAGCTTCTAGAAACTCATCTTTGATGCAGGGAAACCCGATCCTGTCAATACCACTGAAAAAGCTAACGAGGTAATATGAAGTGGAGCGAGAGATGTTCAGCGAGCCAGGTCCATTTGACTGTAATGGGAAGTAACAAGTGGGAAATCAAGTTGCGTCTTGCTTTTATTACACCAGGTTAAAGCTGATGAGCTCTCTGTGTGCCGTACTGAAACCTTAGAACTGTTTACCACTCGCACTATTGCATAAAATACCTCAAGGCTATTATGGTGCAATGTGGCTTTCAGTTTTAAAACCTCATTACACTACAGGAAAAATACAGGACTAAAATTATATATATATATATATATATATAAAACCACCATTACCAACAACAACCACAGAGAAGAGCCATAATAAAGCTAGTGGTGGTGTAATGTGTCTGGTTATAACAGATACCAGGGGTTTAGATTGCACAGATGCCAGGTAAATTACACACATTAATGCCTGCGTAAGCTTCTGCCATCACCCCTGAAATCTCCCGGTGTAACCTGCAGTCATTTTTCTTGTGTGTGGGTGTTTCTCAGGTTGTGTGTTTTATAAGCCATTGTCTCACTGGCTGCAGTCTGCCATCTGTCAGAAATAGATCACCTCACCCATGTCTGCCTGCCTGGCTATCAGAGTGTCAGTAAGTTGAGAAGAGGAAAGCGCACACTCAGGTAAATTAATGTTCTCTGCTAGAGTCATCTGCTAAGCTAAAAGCCTTTTGGGTTCTAGCAGTTAGCCCCAGAAGCAAATCCAAAATTTAGCGCTATACATCACAAGTGAACATCAATCACGCGGTTACTTTTATGCATTTTATATAATAATTTATTTGTGATGGAGGAACCTTAAAACTTTCAGATCAAGCTCTGGGCTTGGCTGTGTAACTGGTTGCCAGTGTTTCAGCAACATTTGCATCATGTGGCAGCAAAGTCAACAGTACAGCATGTCTGTGTGTTTTGTTGTGCATGTGCTGTGAAGAAGAGGATGGGGGGAGCAACCTTACCTGATAGTCAAGTAGTCGAACAATGTTCTCATGTTTCAGCTCCTAGCAGAGGTGTGGGGAAAAAACATATTTGTCAAAGGTATTCTTGGAGACATGCCACAGCACCATCTTAAATAAATACATACCTTTAATATTTTGATTTCTTTGGCAAGCAAACACTGAGACTTGCCAAGGTTTTTCTTGTTTATGCACTTCACGGCAACTTCCCAATCACGTTTCTTGGAAGGTAAACAAAGGGAGTACATAAGCACAACAACAACAACAACACAACCTATTCATCTCCAGAGATCCACATAAATCAAAATTAACATCAGATATGAAAGTTACCTCTTTATGTCTGCCTTTGAACACAACTGCAAATGCGCCATGACCAATCAGGTCTTTCCTGCTGAACTCAAACTTCCCAATAGACTCCATGGATATTACAAAAATGTGTTAAAATATCCGATAGTGTTTAAGTGGTTGATTTTCCAAATGAAACAAACGCGCGGTCCCACGGCAGTTTTCTCCTGCTAGCAAATCCCATACCACTGATGAAAAACACCGTCATGGCACGAAGCAAGCTTTGTGTTCATAGCAAATGTCGATAAAAAAACATAAAAAAGTTTCGACAAGCAAAAAAAGTTGAAATAACCTCGTCGTAAACAGTATGTAAACAAAATATTAGCAGCACACTGTGCTTATTTAACGAGGTTAACTAGTCCATGTCGCTTTGCTAGAACCGGTAAACGTTCAAATGACCGCTCAACACAGTTAGTGTCCACACGACTATGTTTAAACTTTGTTGTATTCCTCCTCACCTTTCTACCAATCTACCCAGGGGTTATTCATGTCTTTTGGTGAGCATGCGCAAACAGGCAGGCAGCTGTTTCATGGTGTCGCCTTCAGGGACAACTCGTAAAGTCCGCCACTTCGCATTGGTAGCTTGTTTCAGGGTTTGGGGCTACTTATCTTAAAATTTAAAAGTTTGGTATCACATACTTTTTACTTACTAGCGAAAACGTCTGGGGAAATAACTTTTAAAAACTCACGTAGATATTTAATAATTAAAAACGTAGAAATTAGGTTGAATAATAACATGTCAACTTAACTCTGAGAAACTTTTTTTTCAATTGAAGAAACAAGCTTCAACACAGTTCTTCATTACTTGCTGTATTTTAATTACAGAAAATAAAAATCAAATACTAATGTTATGCTGTGGAGGACTACTAGAGTAGAGACATAAATAGCATTCTGTTACAATAAAATCCACTGCATTTAACCTCACTTAGTGAGATAAACTCAATCTTTCCTCCCCCAACTAATATGCATTCATTATCACAAAGGCTCTTGGCCTCCCGCGATTAAACCCAACCCCACGGCCCAGTGCCCACAGGGGGTTAAGCTCTTTAAGCTCTGTAATTAGCAGTTCAGTTGTTAACAAATGGTAAATGGCCATCACGCATTCAAATGAAGAGTTTCTCTGCTAATATTTTCTCTATGGCCACACAAAGCAATAGCAAAAAAACAACAACCAATTTCTTGAATTTAAACAGGATTTGGTCATAGCAAAGTTCAGTGTTAGTTCAGTGAAATTTAAATCAACATGTATCTTTATCTGAACTTAAAATAAGGTTTCAGCAGTGTGATTTAATCAAATCAAGTATGTATCTTCAGTCACTCTTTAATACATTTAAAAAAGCAATAGTGTTTAGCAGTTTTTCTTGTACTTTTGTGAAATGCAGTTTTTGTCTGACAGAAAATCATTCTTGCCAAAAATGAATTTTATAAGAGTGTAAATAACAAAACTGTCCCATAAGTCATATAAATATGTTTTTATAATGCTGAAAATCATTTATTTAAGTACACACTGATTTCTTATACTAAAAGGTTTTTAATAAAGATAACCGAAAGCTCAAACCATAGTACCGTAAGACAACAAACATCAAAGATCACAAACATGCTTGGGAGTTCTGAAATATTTCATTTTAAATCTGTGACTTACAGTAAATCCTATTCTAGGAAACTTATTGATGTCTCAGTGTAAGATCGATGATGTTTTAAATAATGTGATCTCCCCTAATTCTCACAGTATAGTAAGAAAAAAAAAAGCAATAACCTTATCCAGTCCCTCTGTTATAGAAGAAATAGCAACAGACGAGGCTAAACACGAAATCAAAACTTCACAGAACGGTGTTCGATACACAACTAGTCTTCATTATTCCATGAAAAAAATAATATATGGCAGCTTACTAAGATGTGAGGTACTGCAACTGTGCCAGTCAATTCATTTTATTCATTTTAAACAGTAACAGACACACAAATTTAACATAAGAACATACTGATTGTTGAGCTGTGACACTTTGCAGAAGACAAGATAAAGATAAATTCAGATTCACAAAATAAATAAATACGTTATAAGATTCTAATCCACTTTTACATCATCCATGGTTATTATGCCGTTATTGTGTTGTGCCATCACCAGAACTGAATTAAAACTGTGTTTATCATGTGAATATAAAAAAGGTTTCACCTAGATAAAATTTACAATGTGTCCCTTATGATGATGAATTCTGTTGCCTGTTGGTCAAACCACTTTGTCATAGTTTTTAAAACATAAATATAACACTAAGTTAAAGGAAAACAGAAACTTTCCTTGGTCTTTTTCTATCCGATGGCATGGTTTTGTTTTTTACTCAGCTATATCTTGAAAATACTTAGCCTATTACTGCGTTTCATTGGATGTAATTGCACTATTTTATCATGTGAGACAGCTTAGGCTATGATAAGCACGTCCCTGTGATTCAAATAAACAGGTTGACATTTTGGAAGATAAGCTCGTTTGCTTTCTTGCCAAGAGTTACATAAAAAGATTAGACACCACTGCTCTTGAGTCTACAGCTAAACAGCAGCAAACTAGTCTGGCAGAGCACAGATTCGTCAGAAAGACGGATGCCGCTAATCTGGCACATGACTGTAAAGCTACAGCTTGTTATTTTTACATCTGTTTTTGTACATATTTAACAAATGAGCCTCATTAGTGGTGTCTGGTAGGTGAATTTCGTCTCCTTTGTCCAAGCTAGCTAGCTTCCCGTTTTTTGTGCTAAGCTATGCTAGCTAGCTAGTAGGTGGAGATAACTTTGTGGAGTTGTAGAAAAAATAAGTACAACCAACAGAGATTCTGAAATTTTTGAAAACAACATTCGATGCCCAGAGATAATGTTAATATTTTCAATTATTTCTTTCTTTCTTGTCATAAAAAATATTAATAAATGTTACTCTTTGAGTGCGAACAGTAAGTACACCCTTGGCATCAAAAATAACTTCCTTTTTTCATTCTACATATGTACTAAACATACATAAAAGCTGTGCCATCTAACCCTAGCTCCCCTATCTACAGTACAGTATGCAGGTAGACAAGCTGACATGCTACACTACAGAGTTTCATCATCAGGCCTCGAGCTACGCTCATGGATCTTTCTAATAACTTCACAGATCCTTCTTTCTCCTTCTGGTTTTCTTTTTGGGAACGCGGCATGTTATTTTGAGTGGATAGTAAGGCACAGTCCTAAGAATCTGTTTGTCTTTAAAGATGAAGCTATCGCGTAGCTACAAAACACCTCTTTTGGTGACATTTTTAACTTAAGCAGACCACTGTCCAATTCATTACATAATAACGTGGGAGGACACTCTGGGGGCTTCAGACTGCTCTCCCACCACAGGCGGAAATAGTGATGTGGGGTTCTACACGGCAGAGAGGTCAATGCGGTTGGCTGAGTTGGTGCTCTTGTCCCATGTGTTCATCTTGGTGGGAGTTACACCCTCCTTGTGTCCATTCATCTATAAAACAACAAAAACAGAGAGAAAGTCAGACTCAAGCAGCCATTTTTGCTTTATCTGTTCTTTTCCCCCCATGATCAGGACTCACTATGTCAGAGTTGAAGGGCTTCACATTAATGTTTCGGATGGAGCTGCTGGTAAGAGACCAGACCTTGGTTTTGTGTTTGAAAGCAGCTCTGACCTACAGTAAGAAGTAAATCCATCACAAACACTGAGAAATATGAGGCAAAGTATGCTGTGCATTCATCACAAGTTAGAAGTTGTTACAGCAGAGAACTTTGTCCCCCTTCTTGCTATTTAGACTAAATATCTAATAACATATACATAATATGAAATTCTAGTTGTTTGTGTGTGGGGAAGTGAAAACATATTCAGCATTATACCTCAGAGTTGAGAAGACAGTGAAATAAGAAGACAAAGAACCCCTAAAGGAGAGAAAAGAATTTATACATAGTTTTAGAAATAGCGTTACAAAATCTAACATTGATCATATCGTAAAGAACCTACTTGTAATGAGTTGAAAACTGCAAATATATAAAGGAATGGCAAAGACTGTGTGTTGACCACGAGAACACCAAAGATCCAGGAAATGCCAAGTATAGGCAGAAGCACAGCTACTGCCTTTATGGTCAGCCTGGAGACAATCCAAGAGATAATATGGTTATGTTATGAATTTTTATTCAAATATCAGCATTTGATAATAATACAAGAATTAGCCTGATTATGTAAAAAAACAATAAACAAAAAACCCCTCACTTGACTGCATTGGCGTCTCCATGAACCTTGTAATTCTCTCCGCTGATTCGAGATATGATCCTGGTCACGGATATCAGAATGCCAATGTTTACCTGAAACAAAGCCGTGTTTGAACAGAAAACAGACTTTTTGTAAATTAGGTGACAAATTGTGACTCGTGTAAAACAACAAAAGGAAACTTTTGCAAATTTCTCACCACAATCACAAAAAGAGCCGGTGCCACAAATGCCCAGATGGCTCCGTTCTGCAGTGACAGCCAGCAGCTGAAATAAACAGATGAGACAGTGTTCAAAAAGATCGAAGATAAAAACAAGATCATCCAATGGAAGAAATGTTGAAAGGCTTTTACTGACGATTATTTGATAATCACATTCCAACCCCAAAAGATTTTTAGTCAGTGTTTATGTAGTCTATGCATGTATAACTGTATAACAATGTTTTCTAGTAGATCCAGGATGATGACAAATACCACAACAAGAAACCAACACTACTGTATATCATATAAAAAGAGAGCATTTATACACATAACATGTAGGCCAAAATGTATCTTTAATATGACTTTAGAGCCACTTTGCTCTAAATAAGTAAACAACTCATGGTCTCTCACAGTAATCCTTACTAAAGAGGAATCCACAGTTCACAAGTAAAAGGTTGGCTCTATTTTAACATGCCCACGATGCTTTTTGTCACCACTAAAAAGGACAAACTTTTTTTTTTTTGCCATCCACAATGTCTCAAAATTTCACGTTTGGTATATCAGAATTTTGATGACCAACTCGCAATAATTTTGAATTGAAAATTTTGATCTTTTTTCTTTCTTTTATACCGTTCTCTGTGACTTGCTGTTCAATTATACAAAAAAACAACAACAAAAAAGTGTAAAACTTTATCTGACCTTAATATAAAGTTTCAACAATGTGATTCAATCAAATTAAGTAAGTATTTTAGTGTAGTAGGCATTTTAACATGCACTGGAATTTCTCTGTTTTTCGAATGTTTTTCACGGAAAAGCCAGCTGAAAACTTCAGTATTCTCTGCCCACAGTAAATTATGCATCCGAGCTGAGGATACCTCCTTCATTTAGACTTGTGGATTGTTTTCCCTCAGAACAAAAAGGAAATAATGTTGCAATGCAAACATGGAGCAACACACTGGTAACCAAATGCTTTTAAATAACAATTTTTGTTTGCAATTTCTTGCACACAGGTGATGTCACTATTATGCAACTGCAAAGAGCCTTAATGGAGTAAAGTACATTTCCCCAAAGATTTCTTTTTTATACTTACTTATCAACTTTTCCATAACTGTCAAGTGCTGATGTCATGGACACGACACAGATCAAGAACGGAGAACCTGGTCCAAAAAAACAAACAAACACATATTCAGTAATAGCAGCACCATAGACACCTATTTCCTCCATACACTCCTCAAATGGGGGTTGCGTACAGTACCTACACATAGAATAGCATGACAGCTTTATTATAGTATGCTGTATATTTTAGTTTGTGGTAATTATAGTATATAAAACACATATTTGTTACAGTTTACATGTTCTCACTGTACCTTACTGTACATTATGTTAGATAAATGCCATAGAAATGCCTACAAATATAAATGTTTCGTTTTAAATCCAACGGTGATTGCTCGCAGAGTTTTTTTCCCTTCCCATTTCCTTTCTTTGCCTTGTTGTCAAAGCTCCACAGGATAAACTTCATTGCAAACACTTTGGAACTGTGCACCGTGCAGGCCTGTATAAACTCCCTGTAGAGGTTTTTATTTCTCCGCGGTGCTGCTAATTGCTTGTTTCCTTGAAAACAAGTCCTTAGATTTCACTGCTTTGATCTCTTGGCCTCTGAGGTCCAAAGGTTTTGAGGACACTATGCTGGGAGGAATTTTTTACTTAGAGTGAGGAAATGAAGGATGAAGTAGCTGAAAGCCTTTATCACAGCGTAACAGAGAAATAATTCTTTATAAAAGCATGTATTTACTTTCTTTTGATAACAACTGTACTTGAAGCTGACAGGGAAGAAGTCTCAAGTGAGTAATGTGCAGTAAAAAAAAAACACAAAATGAAAAAAATACTCTAGCCAGAAGAAAGGAAGTAATTAAAAAAAGCCGACGTTTTTCCACAAATGGGTTCAACATGTAAGAGAGGCGTTCCCCAGCAGCCAGAGATGGGACACGTATGTTCCAGATTTGTTTTTTCTGTCCATCACACTCGAGCTCACAAAAATGATGAGACCTAAAAGATAGACTGGAATGTAGTGAACCTTAAAGTTGATTTATTCAACACTGCTACAGCTGTTTTTATTATATTTGACAAAGAAAGATCAATTTTAAGGAAATCATCTTTAGATGAGGTCGCCCAGGGTAGAGGCAGGGCTTTGGATCAGATTTGTGACAATAAAATAAGATGATGTAAGGACAGAAATGAGGAAAATATTACTGAATAGTTATCCTTTTTAAATACATATTTTCAAAAAAAAAAAAAAGAAGCAAGACAGACCCACCCCAGCCAATGCCATAGTAGTAGAAGTGTTTGCTGTCTTCAGAGCCGAACACCTTGACCACCATACTGTACAGGTGAAGGCCCTCCACCAACATCCAGGCAAAAGCACTCAGAAAGAAGAAGTGTAGCAGGACAGCCATAACCTTACATGGCAGCTGGGAAAAGATCAAAACTGTCTCTTTTAATGTGTATTTTTTTCTTAAACCCTCATTTTTATACTGCTTTCTATGCTTCTCATCATTTTCAACATAATGTATTTCTATCCTTGTCATAGTAACAGCTGTAAAACCATTAAAACCACTGCCACTCCTGTCATCATTATGCTGCAATCATCAAGCAGTCACTGTGCCGTGTACGTACCGTGCCAGGGTCAAAGCGAGCGCTGATCAGCAGTAAGATCTCTGCCACCAGGATGGCGAAGGAGAGGTTGGCGTGGATGTGGTAGCGCTGGTTACGGATGGTACTCACTGACCTGAAAAGAAGCAAAAGGAAAAATACTTAACTACAGTATAACTTCATAGACTACTATGGTAATAAAAAAGGCTTTGTTGCATTTAAACATTCCAGATTCTGACATCCGACTCATCACACTACATGTCTTTGGCCACATATGAAGGAGAAAAAAAAGGTAATTCCACTGAGTTCTTGTAAATTTACTTACTGTTTAAAAAGTAATACTTACGATAAGACTGCAAAGGTGACCAGAGTGATGGCAAGGCAGAAGATGGAAATAGAGCAGCCAACGTAACCGATGGTTGATAGTGCCACCTTGTGGCCAGTAGAAATCTGTGGAGAGAGGCATTGTCAGCATCAGATCTGACAACACAGCACATGGAGTGTTGGTACATGTGCCATCCCACATACATCCAAATCTAGTGCATCCTTTTTCAACAAAGGGAGTCTCTAGAGTTTATTACTGTGAACACAAGACTAACAAACACCATTAGTACTTCCACAAGTGGGCACAATATCATAGCCTCAAAAAGTTATTTATAACCTCTCATGTCAAATAGGATAGCACAGATGTTGCAATTAAAATGATTCTTGATCACAAAACTATATATTCTGCTTTTGTTTACATGTTTTGTTCACAAGTTTTTGAGGTAATGTCCTCTTAAAGCCATTGCAAAAGATTAAACACCGATTTTTATATTTTGAGCAAAAGCAAAAATGTTTATAATCGACGCAGTGTGCGTCCAGCCCAGTGTGTTGATGTTGTTTTGGATTCCAGGCTATTTTGAGTGTTTGGGTTTAATTTTCCATTAACTGTCTACTCATGTGCCTTGTCATTACAAGAGCAGAGGAGTCTCAGCCATCCAGAACTGGGATACGTGAGATGTTCCCTTGCAACTGAGGGATGAGGCAGCCCACTAATTAGAGACTTGCTAAGGGAAAGCATAGCATCAAATAGACTCGTGTGCCATAAATCCAGCACTGGGGCACTTAAGCTGCAATAAGAAGTCTGCTTTTTATTCACAGACGCGGACTAAAGCTTTCTTGGCTGCTGCCTCAAAGCACACTGTGCGCTGTCTATCTTGACAGATAGAAACTCCAACAAACAAACGACCACCTATCAGTAAGCACTTGGCGACAGTGGGAAGGAAAAACTCCCTTTTTACAGGAAGAAACCTGCAGCAGGCTCAGGGAGGGAATGCCATCTGCCGTGACCGGAGGGGAGGAAGTTAGGACAACCCATTCCTGTCTTGCTCATGGCAGCACATCTCTACCAGGCATACACACCACCTTCAGAATAAAAGTGATAATCAGCGGCTGCTGTCTGATGCACATATCCCTCTAAACCAAATCAGATCTTCATCTTTATGGTTTTGATCACCATCCATCCATCCATCCGTGGTTTTTGGGTGAGACAATGAAGGATAAAATAACACACATCATACACAACCCAGCAATTTATACAGAAGTGCCAGCCTGTCTGTCCTCTGTGGAGTCTTATAGGCCTTCCACGTGTAGCAGAGCTAGAAGCCGAAGAAGTAAAACTAGAAAGTGAACCAGAGAAAAATCCTTCACACAGAAAAAAACAGGAACAGAAACTCAACGAAGGTAATATTAACTAAGGATTAAAAACTCAGAAACAGCGCAAAATCGTGGAACCCTGACAACAATGAAACAAATTGAGTCTGAGCTAACGTAACAGCAATCTTGACCTCAGTCTTAAAACATTTTTTTTGTTTTTTTTATATCTACTACTATCCTCTAGAGCTTGATGTCAGTCCTGCTTCACCCACTCATTCCATCCATCCAACACTGATACAACAAAATGCGGCCGCAAGAGTAATCGGACAGTTTCAGTTGTGCTAAATTTAAAAACCAGAGAGAAATTACAGCGCGGTGTGAGCGTGAGAAGAGAAAAGGAGCGTTCGTCTCCCGTTCCCTGAAATGTTCCAAATCGTTTTGAAACGCAGAGAGCTGAGGTGTAATTTGGGCTGCAATTTCTGGATTTGGTACACGTATTTATTTTGCAGCGAGCGCCATAAAAACAATGATCAATCTTGCTTTTGCAAAACTGAAAGGCATAATTTAAAAT